AGGGTTTTGTGGAAGTTTTGCTTCATACATATGTGTGTACGTGTATGTAAATATACACTTAAACACATACTTCGTCGTGATGAAAATCTATTTCTTAGTTAAACATTTGAAATACGCTGCTACAGAATGGCCCCAATTTAGAGATGTTGTTGCTCTTTCTCTGGAGTATGCCGAGTTTATTAGAAATGTGGCTAAAATGAAAGTAAGTGAGGCCAGAAGGATTTTCTCCTGTTTTGAAATGTTTACAGAATTGATTACATTGGAATATTTAAAGAGGAAAGTAAGATAGAAGATAGGTCAAGAGCGACAGTGTTACGGCTGCTGCCATCAAGAGTAAAACACGCTTCTGTGGGTCCTGAAGGTGAAGACCACAAGCGGTGGTTTTCACCTGTGGTTACACATGACTTTTAGGGAGACTTAAAATTTTGTTTTAAAAGATTTTATTTATTTATTTATTTATTTGAGAGAGAGATAGCAAGAGAAAGCATGAGCTGGGCGGGATGTGAGGGGGAGGGGCAGAGGGAAAGGGAAAAGGAGAACACCGCGCTGAGCAGGGAGACCAACACGGCTTGGTCCCAGGACCCCAGGATCATGACCTGAGCCAAAGGCAGACGCTTAACCGACTGAGCCACAACTGGAGAGACTGGGGTTTAGATTACATATATCAGGGGTCTTTCTTCTGGGTTCTGAATTGCTGGATGCACGTACTCCAGAAAATACTTCAGTTTTCACTGTGTTCACAATAGGAATACTCTGAGTATTATTTGGTTATTCACAAGGCATTTGTTCTGGAATTCTACAGATATCTGAAATATGAAGACGGAGATTGTTTTGACTTAGGAATGTTTGTACATTCTTGATTTAATGTCTGCCCTTGAGAAATGAAAAAGTTGCTCATCGAATGTCATTTACAAAAAGTTAGAGTTTTCCCTTTCTCTTCCCTCCTTGTTCCCTCCCCCTCCCCCAGCATCCTTCCCCCTCCTCCTCCCCTCCTCTCCTCTCTCCCCTTCCCCTCCCCTCCACTTCCTTTTTCCTTCCCAGATGTCAGAGGCTGGTCCCACACGGCAGTGGGACTAAAGGGGGCTTTCCAGTGTCATAGTGGTGGTGTGCATATGCCTGAGTACTTGGGGTGCAAAGGCTGGGAACCTGGAGGTGTGGTGAGCTGGGAAGGGGCTGAGATGGTTAGGAGGTTGATTACATTGAGTAAGTAAGTACATTGATTGAGCAAATACATACATACAAGGGAAATGAGAGCCAGGCTTGTCTCTGTTGGAGAAGGTAGATAGAACCTAACTGGGAGGTAGTCTTGGCCATTACGGGGAAGGAGTCCCTTTCAGTGTAATTCACTTAATGGGAGAACATCCTCTGGATTCCAGTAGGAGTTTCTCTGGGTTCTTTGGGGCCCAGGGACAAAACCGAGGTGTGGGCGCAGCCATACAAGTGGCCTGCTGGGAAATGAACTGAGCCGCGGGAGGCCTTTTTGTGGACGCCATTGGTATGGGCATTATCCAAGCTCCAGAGTAGTAGTGTATCCTGGACACAGAATACACACACCTCTTATTGCCAGTCCAGTAAGTGAGTGGAACTCTGGGGGGCAAGGGATGAATCCTGTTTGCCGCTCCCTTTTGTAAAGATTTATAAGCTTTTCTTTTTCTGTTTTTCTCCGGGGCATATTCAGAATAAAGTGGACACACCCAGCCCTTTCACGTACATATCTGACTTTAAAAAACACTTAATGCCATTAGTTAGTCCAGCCTCTTAATGCCAGTGGTTACTAAGTGAGTTAGTTTATAGTTCTTTCTAGAGCATGGCACAATGAGAAGATACCAACTTTAAATCATATGCAGTTGCTTGTTAAAAAAATAATAATGTATTCTCATTTGTCAGTCCAAATGTTAATTGATGTAAACATGAACTATCTGGTCGCCATTGTTCTGATCCCCAAAAAGGAGGTGTAATCTGCTATTGCAGTTACCTGAATGTAGAATGGATAGCTGCCCAAGACCAGAGTAGAATCATAAACTCTACCCAGTCAGTCAGCTGCTATCAGGAATTCTTCCGGGTCTCAGAGAAAGGAGAACTGCGACTGAACATTTGAGTTATTTGTTGACACAGTGTGGGAATATTTAAATCTTTGACGAATGCACGTAGACCCTTCAAAGAAGAAACCCATAAACAGCAAGGGTAGGCGTCATGGTAGAGGACAAATCTAGTTAGGAATTCAAGATTAGAGGATACATATCTGAAACATACACATAAAGTAGAATGGGGAGATAGTGCGGTTTCTTTTACTGTTTCCTTATTTAGATTGATAAAGCTCGTCCTGCTTGGCCCCTTTTCTGATTTGTTTTGAACTGTGTTGGTGTACCAGTAATTGTTGCTGGGTAACAAGCCAGCTCCCCAAATTAGTGGCCTAAAACAACAACCATTTATTTGTGCCCAGTTCTCTGGGATAGCAGTTTAGGTGGACTTTAGGTTGATGTGTCTTCTGCTGGTCTCAGCCGGCATCATGCATCTGACTTTAGGCATCTGGTGGCCTGACCGGGCCTGGGTGGCCTAAATGGCTTCGCTCATAGCTGGGTGTCAGGCTCTGCAGCTCAGGGCACCTCAGCCATGCATGTGGCTCAAGCCCATTCACATCATGGCTTCCAGCCACGGCTATAAAAAAGGGGTTCCTCCTATACAGGTACTTTTCAAGCCTCTGCTTATGTCTCATCTTATAATGTCCCATTGGATATTTGACAGTCAGGTCACATGGACGAGTCCAAACTGAAGGACTGGAGGAATAAACGATCTTTTGATAGAAAGAGTGGCAAAGTCACATGTCAAAGGGATGTATGCCTACAGGGGTGGAAGGAATTGTTCTAGCCATCTTTGCAAACAATATCCCACAGTAGGAACCTGAGGGGAAAGGATATAGTTTAAAGGTTTGTTCGGTGGCAACACGTGGCATATAGGTTTCATAAAATCTTAAGGCACTGTGTGCAGTGTACTTGCTATTTTATTTCAACAGAAGAATAATTATATGAGAGTCACTTTCTTAGTGACGAGCTGGTCCTGTACAAATCAGTCATTCAGTTAACAAATATTTACGGGGCATCATTAATGGGCCAGGCCGTTTCGAGGTGTTAGGGGAAGAGCTGGTGGGGGGGAAGCACACATAATTCAGTGTGTATAAAAGTCAAGTAACAAAGAGAAACTTATAACTCAGTCGTGTGGCTTTTGATTTTGGGTTTGAGGCAGCAGAGTTGTTCAATTTGTCAGAATGCCACAGAGGCAGATTTTTATCAAGAATGTAGCTACTGTTAAGTTTGGTTTTAAAGAGCGACTTGACCATTGGTTTCTCTGCCAAGAGCAAATATCTGTCTCAATTATTGTGGTTCTAGAAATTACCTAAAAAAGGTGAGTCATGTGCTTTTCTGCTGAAGAAGGCCGGTCTTTTAATCAGCAGATATTAAAAGAATAACCAGCCATTACATTTTCATCTCTACCATTGTAGCTAATTCTAGTATATTCGCTAGAAGCGATTGAGACCGTTACTCAGTCTCCAGCATCTCCCACCTCCTTGCCCAGGTAGGTTGGAGTGGGAAGAAACCTTTTTGAAAATGCAGAAAGTTAGGAAACTTGGAATCATTTCTCGTCAGGCTAGATTAATTGGTCCTAGTGATAGAATGTCAGAAATGAATGTCAGAAATAAATGTAGAAACTGCGTGGGAACAGAGTTTTCTTTCACAACAGGGGTTTTGTCTATGCTTGAGAGGTTGAAAAAGTATGTGTAGAAATGACCTGTTCAGTCTTCTGGGTTCAGGGAGAAGTCTTTTGTAATTAAAATAATTGTGACCTATGTTAAAAAAAATCAGAACGTTCATACTGTTCTGTTTGCTATTCCGTTCAGTTTTCTAGAAAGATCTGACAATCTTGAATCCAGTGGTGGCAATACGGGAAAAATTTGTTGCTCTAAAAAATGCCACCTTTTGTTGCATGACACTGGAAAGGTGGGAAAGTTAGAGTTGACTTTTTTCCTTTCTTTTTTTCTTTTACCTCTTTCTTAAAAAAATTTTTTATCACTTACCTATTTTTGTTCATGTCTCCACGCTGCCCCCCTCCCTCATGATGTTGAAACTGAAAGGAAAAATGAAGCCACTAAAATGAGTTTCAGTTACGTGACTTTTGCTCATGGCCTGGTGCTAGTCTTTGTATGGAATGAACTGAACTGGACTACTCTTGCTGCCAGGAATCCAGATCAAAATGAAAAGGAAGATTAATAGCGTTCCAGTTTGTAGTGTGAGAGGGTTCATGTCTGCTAAAATACAGTATCGATCCCTCTAGAAGTACATTTACATTCCACATTGAATTTAAATTTGACATTAAATATACTCTCCTTTAGAAAGTACATTTAAATTCTGATGTTACAGTATGTTAGATAGAATATGAGATTATGTTGTTTGAACGCCCAAGGGATCAACGTGGCTCTCATACGGAGCTGTCTGCTGTCAGAGCCCATTGGAGAGATTGACGGGCTGGGGTAAGGCCAGTCCCAAAGTAAAGGCCCTAGTTGATAGGTATGGATGTGGTTCAGGCAGAGGGAAATCCTGGGTTACAGTGGACAGCAGGATAAAGATGAGAGAAGGAGACACCAGTTCTAACCGGAATAAGAGAAAGCATAGCTGTTGCTCAAAATTAGCTGTGGTTGGTGACGAAACTTTTGGCAAGTGTGACAGGACTGTGAACTCTTACCCAGGACCTTAAATTAATCTAGAGATTTATTTTGAAAGGTATTTTCAATGTATAAATCTGTGCCTTCCATTTATCAGCAAAATGAATAAACATTATTGACCATGTGTCTTTGGAGATATTAAGTGTTCTTGAAAAGTATGAATGGTCACGCAGTAGAACTAGTTTTGTTTTTAAAAGGATGAAACCATGAGACACTGTGATTTAAGATGTTAAAACATGTCCTGTGTAATAATGAGGATATTTTTTGTTCTTTCTTTTGCCAGACGTACATTGGAAGTGTGGTTATATCGGTTAACCCATACCGGTCCTTACCCATTTATTCACCGGAGAAAGTAGAAGATTACAGGAATAGAAATTTTTATGAACTGAGCCCTCACATGTAAGTACGGGATTGACGCGCTAAGTTTCTCTTTCACTGCAGGGATGTGTAGTTGACAGATGCGTCCAGCTGTTTCCCTCGAGTCTCAGGAAAATGTTGTCATCATTTTTTAAAATTAGAGGAAGGAATGTGAAAGCCAATTGTTATGCCTTATTTTAAATTTCAGAAAAGGCAGAATACTTCATTTGGCGTCAGGCTCTTCAAGTTCTGAAATATTTGGGTTCAGTATGTAAAATATGTTTTATTGCAAATTGTGTATAAGTAGCAGCTGCTGCTAATTATTTTTGCAAATAAAACAAGAATGTACATTGTTTATTCTTTTAAAGAGCGTAAGCAGCATTTTCGTGGGTTGGGTCAAGAAAGATCCCAAGTGTTGGGTTGTGTAATGGTTTTTCAGCAAAAGGAATAGATAATACCTTCAGTTTATAAATCTTCATAGACACTGACATTGTTCACCAGATGTGTATATGAGGCCAATGATTTCACCTTCCCCAAAGATAGTCACTTGTTTGATTTTTTTCTGAAGGTCACTTGTTAGTGTAAAGAATTTCTATAAATAACAAGCTACAATAATTACATAGCGCCAAGGTTGAAGAACTCTGAACTAAAGTGAAAGAGCCTGTAGACTTTTAGTTGTGGTCTAGCAGAAAAGAATTTTCTCTCTCTGATTGAAGATGAGCTATGGGCTCTGTTACTTTTGATAGAAAATAAAATCTAATAATTAAAGAATATATATATACCCCAGTCTTAGATGTTTCTCTTGATAGCGTAGCACATACTGACATTTTTGGACTGTTTGGAACTAAAAATTTAAGTTAATTCCTGAAAATGGTTGTTAAAAGCTAAATACTGTATATTTTGCCAATCAAGTGGATTCTGATTATTCTGTTTTTGTCTACAAGTAGATTTTGCAAGTCATCTTGTTTCGTTTTGCCTGGAGAAAAATAAAATCTTGAAATTTGTTTTATAAAGTTATCCCTGTAGTTAAGTCCCTGTAATGAAATACTTTATTTTTTTTTTTTGCATTTTAAAAAATTTTATTATGTTATGTTAATCACCATACATTACATCATTAGTTTTTGATGTAGTGTTCCGTAATTCATTGTTTGCGTATAACACCCAGGGCTCCATTCAGTACTTGTCCTCTTTAATACCCATCACCAGGCTAACCCATCCCCTCACCCCCGTTCCCTCTAGAACCTTCAGTTTGTTTCTCAGAATCCATAGTCTCTCATGGTTCGCCTCCCCTCCAGTTTCCCCTCCTTCATTTTTCCCTTCTTACTCTCTTCTTCTTTTTTTTTTAACATATAATGTATTATTTGTTTCAGAGGTACAGGTCTGTGATTCAACAGTCTTACACAATTCACAGCGCTCACCATAGCACATACCCTCCCCAATGTCCATCCCCAGCCACCCCATCCCTCCCACCCCCCACCACTCCAGCAACCCTCAGTTTGTTTCCTGAGATTAAGAATTTCTCATATCAGTGAGGTCATATGATACATGTCTTTCTCTGATTGACTTATTTCGCTCAGCATAATACCCTCCAGTTCTATCCACGTCGTTGCAAATGGCAAGATTTCATTCCTTTTGATGGCTGTATAATATTCCATGTGTGTGTGTGTGTATGTGTGTGTGTGTGTGTGTGTGTGTATATATGTGTATATATATATACCACATCTTTTTTATCCATTCATCTGTTGATGGACATCTTGGCTTTTTCCATAGTTTGGCTATTGTGGACATTGCTGCTATAAACATTGGGGTGCACTTGCCCCTTTGGATCACTACATCTGTGTCTTTGGGGTCAATACCCAGTAGTGCAATTGTTGGGTTGTAGGGTAGCTCTATTTTCAACTTTTTGAGGAACCTCCATAGTGTTTTCCAGAGTGGCTGCACCAGCTTGCATTCCCACCAACAGTGTAGGAGGGTTCCCCTTTCTCTGCATCCCCACCAACATCTGTCATTTCCTGACTTGTTAATTTTAGCCATTCTGACTGGTGTGAGGTGGTATCTCATTGAGGTTTTGATTTGGATTTCCCTGATGCCAAGCGATGTTGAGCACTTTTTTATGTGTCTGTTGGCAATTTGTATGGAACCAGAAATACTTTATTTGATGACTATTTGTTTTAAATTCTAGGCCTTGAAACCATGCTTCCCAGAGTAAGATGCTTAGATCAGGGGTGTTAGAATCCCCCAGGAGCTTATGAAATATCTAGTTTCCTAGGCCTTAACTCTAGCAAGCCAGGAATCTACATTTTTCACAAGCTTTCCAGGTGATTCTTATGTACGTGCAAGTGTGAGAGCATGTTGTCTTAGATGTATATTTACCAATATTTTCCTTTCCTTAACTGCTTATAGCAAATCATGATCTTTATGCAAGCAGTCTTCATAATATAATAATGGTTTGTTATTTATTATTTACATGTATGATAACTCATTTTATTCTCAGAATAATTCTGTGAGGTGTAGGTATTATTACAAATGGGGAAATTTTCCCAAAGCCACGCAGCTCATGGGTGGGGAGCTGGGCTGTGAAAACAGTGCCTCTCAGCTAGAGATGGGTTTTGCCATTTTCTTGGCAGGGCCTCTTGCTGTGCACCTCCATCAGCACCCCAGGCCCTCCAAGGTCACCTTAGCTGTGCCTCACTTTATCTCCAGAGACTGCCTGTCATTCTTCCATTTGCAGCTTTAATCTCCAGTTTGGGGATGTTTAGATATATAACAGATGTCTATTCTAGAACACAGAAGTTCATGCTCTGTAATATCCATTTTTATCCCCGCCCTTGGAAGATTTCTAAGAGTCTCTGTGGCACTGCTACCCTCGTTTACCCCCTTACTTCCTAAGGAAAATAGCCACGATGAGCTATAAGATAATTATCCAGTGTACAATTTTTTTTTACTCAGTAAATGTTTGTTAGATTGAGTTAGGCAACAAAACTTTTTACCATGGTCTATGAAACACCTGATCCAGTCTGCAGATTTGTATCACACCCGCCTTCCCATCTTGCTTTGTTCTTTAAGTCCTCACCACACTCCTTTCCACCGGGTCATATTTCCACATTCTGTACCTTCTTCCTGGAGTGCTTTTCCCTCCCTTTCCCCAGGCAACTCCTGTTCTTCTGCTAGTTCTCAGATTGCCTTAGACCTCCTCAGGGAAGGACCGTCCCTCGCCCCTCCCGGCCAAGGTCAGATCCATTGCCCTTGTCACAGTTCCAGGTTAATATTGCTTTATGGGATTTTTTGATTCATGTCAGCCTCACCTGACATGCCAGCTCACCATAACGTTATTAGCTCCTCAAAGTAAGTTAAGTGCTGGGAATATATTGAACAGGACTTGGACTCGAGTCCCAGCTCTTCCACTCGCAAGCTATGTAATCTTGAGCAAATTACTTGAAAAAAACTTCAACTCAGAAATTAAGCAATTTGCTGTGTTCAGTGGGAAAATAATTATTAACTCCTAGGATTTTTGTGAGGGGTAACTATCTAGTAGATATTTAGATAATATAATTATCTGGTATATGTCAAGTGCTTAGTATGGAATGGGCCACAGCCTTGTAGTAAAGGAGAGCAGCTGCTATTAACAGTGATAAATGTAATTATTGTAATAATGAGAAGTATGGAACACATTTTGAGCATCCTAACATGCCCTTTCTTACCAGTTTCTCCTCCATGGTGGGACATTTTCTACTTCCTTTATTTATTTATTTTTTTAAAAGATTATTTATTTGAGAGAGAGAGAGAAAGAAAGCTCGAGCGGGAGGGTTAGAAGGAGATGGAGAGAGAATCTCAAGCAGACTCCATGCTGACCATGGAGCCCGACGCTCAATCTCATGACCCTGAGATCCCCACCTGAGCCGAAACCAAGAGTCGGATGCTTAACCGACTGCACCACCCAGGCGCCCCTCCACTTCCTTTAAAGCATTTTCCCTGCATCATTCTTTGTGAATGTCCAACTTTAATAGTGTCTGAAATGGGGTTCGTGCTAGCTAGGTTTCTTACTAAAACCTAGTCCGACATTCTCGAATAGGAATTTTGCAGTATAATAAGATAGATGACTTTAGGCTTTTGATGTATTCTAATGGTAACTCTTTTAAGAACTTGATCCCAATTTGAATAAAAAACTTAAACAGCTGCTCAGACCACGTATACTTTGAAAATTTTGCCAATTAATTTACCCCAGATGACATTTGGAATTTAATTTGACCTGGTATTGACTATTAGTCTTCAGAAATATCCAGGTACTTCTCTTCTAGCTCATGTATTTTTGAAGGTGTCCAGAAATTATTTTTCTTTAAATTTCAGATCATTGAAAAATATTTACATTTCATGTGGGTATGTGACTTTGAGATAGTGGCCGTGTATAAATGAGTAAAATGAAAATAAACAGTGGTTTCGTACCTATATTCCTTTTCAAAGGTATTTTCTGCTGGCATACCTCTTCTCCTGCTCCCTTCTTCTCTGAACTCCTCTCTCCTCTGTGTTTGGAGCCACACCTTGAGCGTGGTATCCCTGGGGGTCATGTCCAGAAAAAGGAGGCGTCCATGGGGCAGCTTAGATGACACCGTTTGCCTTTCCATTGTGTAAAGAGTGCCTCTCCAATGTGATTCTAAGGTTCTTTGCACATTAGGAATTTTTTTTTTTTACGTATCCCGGTGAGGACTTAGTACCTTCAGATAACTCAAGAACTGTATTCATGGAGAAGTACCTCAGATCACCCAACCGCATAGATAGGAAAGAATGATAGGGAAGAGATGAGGAAAATAATTAAACTACTTAGTTACCCTCCACTCAGTTAGAATAGCACCATGACAATCCACCTGATATTTTATTTACCAAATCCACTGGCCTTTTGTTGGGTGATTGCTTTTTGACCTTGCAGCACTAGATACAGTTTATTATTATCCTGTGGATCTTCCTAAAATCAGAGCATGCTACTTCCCTTCCCAGAAACCTTCATGGGCTCCCTATTACTGTTTGAGTGAACTCCAAGTTTCGTG